TTATTCTAAATATTAATAAATATTATAATATAAAAATAATTAAAAAACGTAAAAAAAAATTATAATAAAAATATTTATGAAATAAAAGAAAAAAATATTACATGAAGAAAAAATATTATAATATATTTATTTTAATATTTAAAAACTAAAAATATTAGCATAATATAAATATAATAATAATTATAATATAAAAGAAAAATATATCACATTAATAAAGTAAAAAATATTGTAATATATTTATTTGAATATTATATAATTAAAATATTAGCATTTAATTAATAATAATTATAATATAAAATAAACTAGTTACTTTATAAAATTAATATATTAGCATTTAAAAACATATATGTAAAAATTTAAAAAATATTACATATGTATAAAAACATATATATAAATTAATATAAATGAATATATGTAATTATCGTATTATATAAATTAAAAAAAAATATATTTACTAATTATTACTTTAAATTGTTCATTTAGGGTATTCGTATACCTGAACAAGCTGACTGTGAGGACCCGGCCGACAATATTATGCATGGTTCTGGAAACCGACACGTTATAAGTCGGGGTATAACTGCGTCCGGTCGCCGCACTCGGGAGGACGCGATCAAAGAGGCTCGGATGTTACAAACTGGTCAGGTTGACCAGTCCGACAGTTCGAGACTTCACGCACCAGCCGTACCGGTTGGTCAGCAAGGGTATGGCCAGGCAGGCAGTTCTAGAGTCCCCGTCCCCGGACCATTACTGTACGATCATGATCAGCATAGATATTATTATGCTTGCCAGGCAGGCAGTTCGATACCTCGTGCACCAGCACCGCACGGTAGCAGGTATATTATGCTGATGAGTCGGTAGCCCAGACGGAGCAGTCTTCTGACGAGTCCGCATCATATAACGATGCGTACTCCCGCCGCATCATACACCTCCTACTCAGCATACACCTCCTACACAGCATGCGTCTCCTGCACAGCCTGCGGTTCCTGCACAGCCTATGGCTCATGTTCGGCCTGCTATTCCACGACAGGCTGGTGGGCGTTTTGCTAGCACTGGATCCTCAGGTAAATAATTTAAGTATTTTTATTTCGTTTGACATTAATATTTCGACTTAATCGCAACAAATTATCAGTACTGTTAGTGACATTATTTCAATTATGTATTTATATATTTGTCTTTTCTATTCTAATGTAGGTACTAGCAAACGATGTAGGACTGGTGATGGGGCAGACTGGATCGTTAGAGGTCCAGTTCCCGGTGGGCCTATGGATGGGAGTGTGATCCCTAGCTTTCTAGG